AAAAAAAAAAGTCACGCTTTAAAGTCTTACTGTGGAGGAAAGCGTAGATATTTTAAAATTACCACAAAGATTCAATATTTCTCTCTGAAGAATTGGGATAGTCACAGTTTAAATAACTTTTATTTATGGTATTAAATGGATATGTTAAAAATAAAATTTATTCTCTGTAATAATCAGTTCACTGGGATATCTTCCTTGATGCAAGCTGTGAATTATGAAGCAGCATTGATAGTCACGTACCATAAATATCCTCGTGCCTTCACCTGCTGTCTTAGCCTTGATAAGCGCCCTCTTTTGTACCATTCACCTGACTCCCACACTGGGATCTCTAGCCCAGAGCTCTGTGGACTGAACCCTTTCTTTTTTGTATGTCTAATGAAAATCTAAAATGTAAGCAGCCAAATAGAGCTCAGATGTACCACCATGGATCTGCCTCACCTGGCGTTTTCCCCTTGTCAGTTCACGGCAACTTCATCTCTCCAACACCAAACACCTCGAGTTGACCATTCTCTCTCACAACCTAAGAATTTCAACTAGTTCTCCCTTGATCTGGATCCTTCCATCAGCCCCACCACTCTCCCGGCTCTCTTTTAATTACTGCAATAGCTGCCTAACTCATCCTTTTTTTTTTTTTTTTTTTTTTGCATTCTATTCCAATCCAGCGTGTGGACTATGCTTTTAAAACATGACTCAAATCATCTTCACATCTCTGCTCAAAACCTTCTAATGATTCTCTGTTGATTTCAGTTAGGGCAATAGTACCTAATAGCCAGAGAACTCGCCTGTGGTCTGTGCTAGGTGCTGCTACGTGTGCCCGTGCTCAGGGATAAGCACACACACTCAGTACCCTCAAATGCTCTCCATTTCTCATTCTGTTAAGCACATCAAACTTCTTGCTCTTTCTCAAACACTCAGAGGTGAAAGCACACTGAGGTGTACTTTCCCATGAAAATAAATTCCAAGCACTTGCTATTTAGAAGTTCTGTGAAAGTGGATTCCAGGTGAATCTAAATTTCTTGTCATCATTGATCAAACAATGCTGTTGACCATTGCTAGCCTGTAGGACAAGATTTTAAGGTTCTTCCAGTTTCTTGAATCATATCTATATTTTCACATGCATCCCTTTATTTCTTCTGGTAAAAATTCATATTATTGTAATAATTTCTTTTCATATAAGCAGGTGATTAAAGAAAATCATAATTATGGGTAATGAATTTGTAGGCAAACATACAAACACTAACTGGTCTTCAACTTAAGTTCTGACTATAATTTACTAGGATTAGAATTTTAAGCAATATTGTTGAAAGTGTTATCTACATCCTAAGATTCCCTTTATATATTTCACACTCTGTTTCCTCCAAATGGTTTCATTTGGAAACTTAATTTTTTTATTAAAGAGATATGTTGATAAAAATTTTGTTATGTATATGGTACAAAAAATTATTGCCTTCTCCGTTTTTCAAATTAAAAGGTTATTTTAATTACACAATGAAGTTTATTTCAAACTTTAACATATATGCAGACTTTTTCTTTTTCCCCCATGTAATTACAACAAATGAAAAACTATACTAAAAGGATGCAAAATACAATTATGGTGTGCCACGTCTTCCCAGAAAATGCAACGTTATGTGGTTTACAAGTGAGAGGATAGGGTACCAGGGCCAAATGCATTTATAATTACTTATCTGGTACTGTAAGAATTTTTTTCCTCTCAATTTCCAAAAAAATTTAGCAGTTTCAGAAAAATTAAAGTAGGCAAATATGTATTCCTTGCCTTTACCTTCTGGGCATATGGAAAACCAAGATTAGTTTGTTTACAGACAGTGAGAAATTAACTAAAAATATTTGTTTAGGATCTTCAATCATTAAACAAAATCTATGTTTCCTTGTGTTGTATAACTGCAAAAAGAACAGAGAATTTAACATTGCGTTTTGTGCTAAAAACTTTTTTTTTCCATTTCAGATACCATACAAAGTGGCAGCTACATATTATACAGATTCTCAGCTTCTAATGTAAGCATTATCCTCTGACACACAGTTAAACGTAGACTCTGTGAACGCCTAGGTTATTCTTTTATTATGAATTTTTTAAAGATGTTCATATTTATCCCAGGTTTAATGAAATGTAATACATTGAAATTAAAAATTTCAATTTTTCAAATTACAATTAAATTTTAATTAAATTAAATAGTTAAATTTAAATTTTTAAATTATACACTAATTTTAACCTTAAAATTTTAAATTTAAATGTATTATGAGTTTCTGGCCATGAAATTGATGCACAAAAGTCTGTATATGTCTTCATGTGGTAAATTTGGTTTTAAGAAATGTTCTCTAGGAAAAAAAAAATAACCATATTTATAAATGTTTTAATGTATCAACTGCAGCAATAACAACTATGGATTTGAGGTAGGGTTGAAAAACCTATGTGCAAAGTAAAATTCTGAATAATTTATAGGAATGATTTTCATAGATTTCTTTATATATTCTTTTTGCCAAAGCTTTTTTTTTTTTTTTTTTTAAATAAAATCAATATTAGGGCTAGAATGAAAGGGGTTATATATGTTGTTATATCATGAGTCATTTGCAATATCTGTGAAAATAAAGTTTTACGACTCCTATATAAAAATAAAAATAATTATTAGTGAGTATATTTATATATGCTACTTGGTTGGGGAGAGTTGGTAGGATGGTTTTTTTTCTTATTTCATGCCTCTATTGTTATTTAAGTTTTCTATCTGATGACATAATAGATGATATGCTGTGCTATTTTTTCCAGAATACTTTGAATATTGAATGCACACATTCAGGGTACCAGGAAGGAACCACCTTAGCATTTCAGACCATAAAGATTCTTGGGTTGACAGACACTGTTACAGAAGTTCTGGTGGCAGAAAACGGTCAACAAATGGCCGCCCACCGCAATTTTACTTATGATCCTTCAAACCAGGTAAGTGCAATCCTTTAACATATTTACCAGCCATCTCCTGTTACACTGACACACGTGACCAGGCGCGTGGTTTCGTCTTCTTCTTCTTCTTCTTCTTCTCTCTGTGACACATCTTCCCTCCATCCCTCCCTCCCCACTGCCTACCAGCTTTCCTTCCTCCCCCCTTCCTCCCTCCCTCGCTCCCTCTCCCTCTTCACTTCCCCATTCTTCCTTCCTTTTTTCTGCCAATATTTCCTTCAGGTCATTCCGATTTGTTTTCAGATATCAACATGAATGGGACTTCAGTTCCCCTCCTTGTTTCACTCTCCCCTGGTGGTCACTTAGAGGACAGGCCTTCCCAATATTTTTTCATACCATCTCTTGCCCTGAACTGCAACCTACCTGTTGCAAACAAGAAAGACTGCGATGGTTTAGCCTCATATTTAGGAATTTTCAACATATTTATTCAATCCATCTCTTTCATCATTCTCTCTGTTCCTTCTTTGAGGAACTTTCATTCTCCTTAGGATGTATCTTCTGCTTTCCTGACTTCAGACTTTTATTTACACGTTTTTCTTCCTGTAGAAGACTTTCCGTTTCTTGTGAGTTTTTTTGTCTTTTTTAAAGAGGCCTCACGTGACTGAGGTCCACTTTCACGCCGCATTTAAGCACATTTAATTAATTTCTCTCTATCTCAGCATCTTCATATGTAAAATATGACATCTAAGCCATAATGTTGCTTCAATTAGTAAATTAATATATTTGAAATGTCACAGAAAGTAATAGTTTTTAAAACATGAAACAATTTTGGGGGCAGTTATCTCTCTACCATTCGTACAATATGACATTACTAGTAATATCAGGATAGGCAAATTATAAACTGTATAAGATATAAAACATTATCTTCTCTTTTGCACAAAATTAATGTTTATTCCACTTTTGTGTCGTAGTCCTCGACGCATCACAAAACAAATGGAAAACTGAAATTGAAATCAGTAATGTTACCAAGTAGGGAATCAAGTTAAAATCTAGTATCCACCAACAAGGATGTACTAAAGCCAGTGATCTGTCTAAAAGCAAATAAAGGAAATTGCTAGAAAACTGCATGCATCATGCTCTTTCAAACCAGCAGAACACTCCTACATACACTGGAACATAAGCAGAATTCTTCCCCCATAAGATAGAGAAATGCAATCTTTAAAAATACTGTGGATGGCTCGGCGCCTATAGCTCAACCGGCTAAGGCGCCAGCCACGTACACCTAAGGTGGCGGGTTCGAATCCCCAGCCCGGGCCCGCCAAACAACAATGACGGCTGCAACCAAAAAATGGCCGGGCGTTGTGGCGGGCGCCTGTGGTCCCAGCTACTTGGGAGGCGGAGGCAGGAGACTCGCTTGAGCCCAGGAGTTGGAGGTTGCTGTGAGCTGTAATGCCACAGCACTCTACCCAGGGGGACAGCTTGAGGCTCTGTCTCAAAAAAAAAAAAAAAAAAAAATACTGTGGATGGGTAAATGTGTTTGTAAGGGGAATCCTACTAAATGGTTCCAGAGCGGGCCAGGAACACATTCAGGGATTCTGGGGATGATGTGTCCTGTGACACAGAAGTACAAGACAGGGCAGAGAGACTTCTTAACACCTTAGCAACATTTAGAGGAAATCAAATTTAAATGCAGTGCGCTCTGCCGTGGGAGAGGCTCCGCTCAGGTCTGGGGTTTCAGTTGCTCCCCGCAGTCTCCGGTGAGAGGGCTCAGGAGGCGTCTTCTAAACCACAAGCCTATACTTGCGGTTGGGCAGCTGGCAGCAGCTGTTTGCAGGAGACTGACAACGACCACGACCTTTGGAGGAAGTCGTCACCTTTCCTCCTATCCCTCCCGTGTGTGGTGTGGGGTAACAGCTTCTCTGCTTACACACTGGGCGGTCTGTTACTGTGTTCTCACCGTCAGCTCTAACTAAGCAGCTCCACGTACCCGGTGCTGCGAGCATCTGTGTTCCCCCTGCAAGGCTGGGCAGTGTCTGGCCCAGAGCCACGAGGCCGCTTCCTCTCTGCTGTTTCTTCAATATAATCACCACTCTTCGTCCCTGTTTGATTTTCTCCCCTTCCCACAGAGGCCCAATACCATCCTTATAAAGCCAATAGCCACAGCCAGGCATTAAATGACCAGATATCGGGGTACGGTTGCACACAGCCCAAACTTCAGCAGGCTCAAAGCTTACAGATGAGCTGAAGGTTTGCTTTCCAGGTTTTGCTTTCATCATTAAAAGAAAAAGAAAAGCGCCCATCTGCTCTCTATGGCAGTCTACTGCAGCGTCCAAGGTTAAAGCCCCACTGATTAGAGCCTATTTGCTCCTGTTCCATAGATGGGGGATTAGGGATGGGGTGGCTTCCAGCTCCACAGTCGCCATCTCAGACCCATCCCTGGATCATTGTCTTCCAACATTTGTTGTCTAATTCCTAAGCCCTAGGGCTCAGGGCTATTCACCTAGCAATTTTCAGAAAATATATCATGGATAATTACTTTTTATATAATAAGCTTGATATAATTTCCATATTCCTAACATTTAAGATTAAATTAATATAATTAAATAATCACAAGTTTATAGAGAACGTTATGAATCTAGCAAAGATTATACCCTGTTATAATACAAAAAATGATTTTGTTTGGTTAACATGTGCCATATCAATATATATCTGTATCTGTTTTATGTCTGGCTTTATGCTTAAATGAAACATAACCAGGCACTAGTAACTGTATCTTTCTAGTTCTGCAGCTTTGACTGACCTTTATATGAATTTTCATTTCTCAAATAGTTTTGAAAGTATGTTTGGTGGATATCAAAGAATAAGCTATGCAGATGAACATGCAGTTGAGGATAAATTTTGCCCATGTTAATTCCCCAGGTATATGAGGAATAACCAAATATAACTTTATAATCCCAATAACAGAAATCATAGTGTATATACACACTTATTACACACATATTACATATACACAATTTGTTTATTTTATATATATATATCTTCTTGTTTTTTCTTTTTTGCATAGTGCAATAGTTTCCTCTCTAACTGTTATCTTTGTGTTAAGGAGTAATATAGGTTTAGAATTAAAGAAATAGTTATTTCCCTTCTCTGACTCTGCGAGCCAGCATATCAACTATAGCACACAACTTTTTCTTTCCTCCATATCCCTAAAGGAATTAACATTTATTTCAAACCTGGTGTGTTCCAGGCATTGTCCTAGGTGCTTTAAAGTTACATCTTGTCGAATCTCTGTAGCAACCCCTTTCATTAGGAGTTCTTGTCCCCATTTTCCAGAGAAAGAAATTGAAGATAATGCAGAATATATAACTTTCTCAAAGATTTACAAGCACCAAACGGCAGCACTGAGAAATGCCTGACAGATGATACTTTCCATCAGCGTCCGACAGTCTCCTATAGCTTTTCCATCTTGGGCTTTTACACATTTCAGTGGCATAACACTTTTCTCCCTTGTATTCTGTGCCTCAGGAATTTTATTAAAACTGTTAATGATTTGAGTTGAAGAACTACTGGAGGTGTTACATTCTATAAAATGTTAAGTATTTCTAAATTGTGCCATGGGGGGATGTAGTCTTTAATGTTTTATTCTGTTTGTGTTTGCCTTCAAAGATTCTCCTAATTAAGAATCTCAACTTCAACCTTGGAAAAAGCTTTAATGTCCAATGGAATCAAGTTTACTCAGAAAATGAAACCTTTAACTGCTATCCAGACGCGGACAGTGCACCTGAAGCAGAGTGTAAACAGCGGGGCTGTTTATGGCGAGCGGTAAGAAGAGTTTTGAGTATGACTCATGATTTGTACATAAGTATTTCAATGTGAACTTTACGTATCATAATTTTTATTCCACAGCATATAAAGTAAACTCACATAAAGAAGTATTTAGAATTTGAAATTAGCATCTCTGATAAACAGTTTATCTTTATCTGAATTCATTCTCTAAGGTAGTTCAGTAAATGCCAGTAAATGAATGTATAAGTTGCTTTCCCTGTACTCCAGAGAGTGTAACTTTATACTAAAGTGCTAATGACTCAGTACTTGACTTGTTGCTCTGTTTATTGTTGGGTAAGATATTATGCCAGTAGTTCACATACTTTCAGAAGCATTGTCTCAAATTATTAAAATTATTTAGTTGAGTGATTAGTTTTGTTCCATTAAGTGATGATAATTTCACACAGTTATTCTGGCTATCATTTGAACAAAATTATGTTGGCTTTGGATAGCAGATGTTTTCACCAATGTTGCAGCAAAGAGATATGAGAAATATCTCCTTTTTCTATTTGGTTTTGTCAGGAAAATATTTATAGAATAGAACCAAATAATTAAATGCATGTGTTAAATCACTGAGGATAGTCAAGATGCATCTCTCAGCAACTTCCAGGAATGTCTGCATTTGTGCGAGGCGATAGACAGAATCTCTAGCCCCATTCCTCTCTACTGACAGAGCAGC